GTGATCGTGGCCTCCAGCGGGCTGCTGCTCATGATCGAGCGGGGTATCCTGGCCGAAATGAAGCCCCTTCCCCTGCACCCTTCCCACCGCGAGGGCGCAGCCTGGCGCGGGACGGTCCGCCGGCCTGGGGGGCTGACCCTGGATGCCGGGGACTCGGACTTGCAGGTGAGGCAGGACATCCGAAACCGGACCTTGCGGGCAGTGTGCGGGCAGCCGGGCATGCCCCGGGACCCTTGGGACTTGCCAGTGGGACAGCGGCGCACCCTGTTGCGCCACATCCTCGTGAGTGATCGCTACCACTTCCTCTACTGCTACGTCCCCAAAGTGGCCTGCTCCAACTGGAAGCGGGTGCTGAAGGTGCTGGCGGGCGTCCTGGACAGCGTGGACGTCCGCCTCAAGATGGACCACCGCAATGACCTGGTGTTCCTGGCCGACCTGCGGCCTGAGGAGATCCGCTACCGCCTGCAGCACTACTTCAAGTTCCTGTTTGTGCGGGACCCCTTGGAACGCCTTTTCTCTGCTTACCGCAATAAGTTTGGCGAGATCCGAGAGTACCAGCAGCGCTATGGGGCTGAGATCGTGAGAAGGTACAGGTCAGGAGCTGGGCCCAGCCCTGCAGGGGACGATGTCACCTTCCCTGAATTCCTGAGGTACCTAGTAGACGAGGACCCTGAGCGCATGAATGAGCATTGGATGCCTGTGTACCACCTGTGCCAGCCTTGTGCTGTCCGCTATGACTTTGTAGGCTCCTATGAGAGGCTGGAGGCTGATGCCAACCATGTGCTGGAGTGGGTGCGGGCACCACCCCATGTCCGATTCCCAGCTCGCCAGGCCTGGTACCGGCCTGCCAGCCAGGAAAGCCTGCACTACCACCTGTGCAGTGCCCCACGGTCCCTGCTGCAGGATTTGCTGCCTAAGTATATTCTGGACTTCTCCCTCTTTGCCTACCCACTGCCCAATGTCACTAGGGAGGCCTGTCACCAGTGACCATGGGAAGGGGCCAGCAGCTGTTGGAGGCTGGTTTTGACAGTGCCAGCTTCTCGTGCCTGCCATTCAGAGAAATCCTGGCTCTGAGCCTGGAGCTTCTCCAGATATCTGGATGACAGGGACGGCCCTTGGAAGATTTTTGTCCAGAGTGGGTGCCCAACATGGCTCAGAGGATGGGGTTGGACAGGAGGCCTGGTGCTCTCCCATTGGGGGCATTTCTTGGGGTCAGTATGATCTTTCTTATCCTGGTAGAGCCAGATACTAGTTTGCCAGTGAAGTAACACATCTGTTCTGTAGACTAACTGCATGGATTGGGCACTTGGCCCACCTTAACCTGTGGCCAAACCCAGAGGTGGCACCCATCAGGAGCACAACCAGAGCCAGGGGCCCTGTGGCTATGGTCACCTGTTCATCTACGAGTTAGAAGTCATGCCTTACAAATAACTTTTGTGCCTTTATGCTTCAGACTCAGTTTCCTACACTTGCCATGTCCTTTCTATTTTTCCAAGGAAAGGAACACTGAGTTAGGGCTCTTACATGGTAGCTCCAGGACCCACCCCTGCAGGCATCCAAAGAACCCTGTGCCCAGCCTCTTCTTGGAGCTCTGGGCACCTCCTCCCTTCCCCCAAGGCTGTGACTGTGGCTGGTGTATCTGGCTGTCACTTTTCTGACACATTTATTTAAAATTTGTACTTTTTGATAGAACCCTTGTGAAAGCTTTGTTTTTTCTAATAGCTGCATTTTTATTAAAGATGTTTTGTACACAAAGTCAGCATCTCTGATTCTCCTTCTGAGCTCCTCTGCATCGAGCAAATCTCCCAAATGTCCATCTCCGCAGGTCAGGAGAGGGAGCTTGCAGGTACAGAAAGGAAGACAAAATGTAACTTGTTTGGGCCAGACTGGTGGGCCACTGCCATAGCATGGAGAATTTGGGAGCTTCCCATAGGCCATACCTGATCACAGACTCAGCTTCTGGGCTGCCACCGCTGGCTGGGCAAACCCCATTAGGAATGGCACACCCCCATGGCTTATTCCCTGAAGAAGGAGGTGGGTATGAGACACTGGCTCCTACTCCTCTTAGGCAGGAATAGTTCTTGACTAAGGATGCCCCAGATGAAAAGGGGGATTGTTTTGTGAGCAAGGGAAGGTTACTATATTCCTGGCCTTGAGAATTACAAGGAAGGCAAGGAGGTTGAGTGAGGAGCAGGCTCTTGCTGACTTAGGTCCAGAGGAAGTGGTGGGCGATGTGGGAGGATGTATAGCTAGCCTTGCTATTGGCCTGGCGTTGGAAGAGAAGTTGGGGAAGGGGGCTTCTATGGACACTCATGGTTCTCTGCCATGACTCACCAGGAGGTCTTACTTACCTTATCTGATCTCTTGTCTGGGTCAGGTGCCACTCTTCAGGGCCCCCTTGGCTCAGGGGACTCCACCTCAGATAGCACTTGCCATGCTCTGTTGTAATGGCCCAGGTACTTGTCAGTCTCCCCACGGAGACTGAATGGTGTGAAGCTGAGACCATGTCTGTCTTGTTCCCAGAACCTAGCCAAGGGCCTGGCCTACAATACGCATGTGTATGGCTCAGCAGAACCAAGGTGTATATCTTGCTACTGGACAGAGAGCACTGCACTTGGAGTCACCCAGACCGATCACGTCCCACCTCTGCTCACCAGCTGCCTAACCACCTCTCTGAGCCTTCACATACTCCACTGTCTCATGGGAATAATAACACCTATGTTATGCCGATTGCTGTGAGGATTAATGAAAACAAAATGAGTAAAAGGGCCCATCCCAGCACTTGGTTCAGTGATTGTTCTTTGAGATGCTAGCTGAATATCTGATCCCTCCGTGGCCTGTGGGGATAGGGGAGAAGCCAGGACACTGTGTCCGCCCAGCACTGGAGATCAGAGCTGCCTCTGGGTAGAGCCCCTTTGACCTATGGGTTCACTTCCTGTGCTTGCCAGTCAGTCCTCTGAGCTTTCTGCTCCTCATGGGCCCCACCCCGACGCTGCCCCAGCTTCTTCCTCTTTGGCTGGGAACTGCCGCTTCAGACCTATAGCAGCCTCTCAGAACCCAGAGAACCCAGAGGATGCTGGGCCCAGCTGCTATGTTTACTTCATCTCAGTTTTCACAACAGCCCAATGCTTTAGAGACATGGAAACTGGCACAGAGAGGGTAAGTATCCCGCCCAAAGTCCAACCCAGGTCTGTGTGCTCCCAAATTCAGAGCCAGAAGAGAGAGAGAGAGAGATGGAGATTGTGAAAGGTGGGGGTTGAGGGAAGAAGGAATGAATACAGAGGTTAAGAAGATGAAGGGCAGCTAGGGAGGTCATATTACGGGCATTTGCACACATTCTCCCTCAGTTCTTTCATCCCTTCATTTGCAAAGAACCCAGTTTAGCCCAGCCGACATGACATTTACCAGTCCCCTCCCTGAAGGAGTGGGAGACAAATGAAGTCCTTGATGTGCTTAGCTTATTAAATACTCTTCTCCCTTTTCGCGTCGAACGACCCTTTTCGCCTAAATACATCCTGCATATCAGATGTTTACATTACAATTCATAACAGTAGCAAAATTACAGTTATAAAGTAGCAACGAAAATAATGTTATGGTTGGGGGTCACCACAATATGAGGAACTGTATTAAAGGGTCATGGCATTAGGAAGGTTGAGAACCACTGCATTAAAGGGTGGCCGGCCAGAGCATCTTGACAGCCAGATCAGACACCTGTGGTGTGGGGAGGAGGGATTGAGGTAAGAAGATGAGGGGACCGCTGAGACAAATGGCCACCCACTGTCATTTTTCCCTCTAGAGTCAACCCCTGAGGAAATCAATTTGTCATCTACCTCTCCTTTTAGGAAAATAGGCTTCTTAACAGAAGCCGCCAAGGAGCTGGCTGAGAGTTGTGAGGTCCAGCTGGCCCGAGTGCAGCCTGCTTTATATTGGCACCTAGGCCAGAGCTGAGGGCATGAGAGCTGGCAAGCTCTGGGTTGCCAGGGGTGGGGCCGGGGCATTCTCAGGACTGGACACTTGGACTGTGTCTTCTTGGGATTCTCCCTTTGCATTGAGCCAGCTCTCACCCCACAAGGAGTCAAGGTCTCCACCACTGATTATGAAAACAAGGGTCCCCTTCATAACTCCATTCCCAACCACCCAGTTCTCTGGACACAGGGGGACTGGCAATTATTTAACTTCTTTCACCGGTTGAAGGCCGTGAACAAAGGAAAGGGGAGGGGCTGGAAGGGGCCTGGCCTTCCAGGTCTGGGCCCTGACTCCACTTTCAGGCTCCAATTCTGGTTCATTTTCCATCCTGTCTGTTACTACTGCCCAGAAACCATCTCACCTTAAATTCTGAGATTGTTTCCTCTCCCTTTTCTTCTCATACCTCTGTTCCCGCCCTCCAGGAGGTTCCCACCACATGTACCCTGTACAGCAAGCATGTTATTTGGCTCGTGTTAGCCTTTGAGTTTGACATGCTTGCTGTACAGGAAGCAAGATCTGAGTGGAGCAACTGACCCTCCCTCTGGGTGAACACGAAACCCTCACCTTTTCCAGGGGCTCAGCACCAGAGGGGGCCAAGCCTCCTGGCCTCCCAGGGTGGATCCCATGCTTTTTCTTTATATATATATATATATCTTTATTGATTTCGGAGAGGATGTGAGAGGAAGAGAGAGATAGAAACATCAATTATGAGAATCATCGATTGGCTGCCTCCTGCACGCTCCCTAGTAGGGATCGAGTCTGCAACCTGGTCATGTGCCCTCGACCAGAATCAAACCTGGGACCCTTCAGTCCGCAAGCCGACGCTCTATCCACTGAGCCAAACCAGCGAGGGCAGATCCAGTGCTTTTAATATTGAACCAGCCCCTACCTGGCTTCAAGGAAGGGGAAAGACATTCTTTCTCTGCCTGAAGTTAAATACTAATGTTTAACAATAGCTACTCTGAAATCAGAGCACCTGTGCCAGGCATGCTGCTAAGTACTTTACATGTATCCTCTCCATTCTAACAACAACCCAGCAAGGTAAGCAAAATTATTTCCACTTTACAAATGAGGAAATTAAGCCTAAGTGACTTGCCCAAAGAGATGAAGGGGTTGGGATTAAAACCCAGTCCATCTAATGTTTGCTCCTTTGTAAATGCCTCATAAATTACCCAGTTCATTGCATTTGCTGACAAGCATTGTGCTCATTTTCTCTGATTTCTGCACCCATTCCCAGCCCTTCTTTTCAACGCTCCACAAGCGATTCTGTCCACAGAACTCTTCAGTTATTATAAAATTCTCTAGGTTTGCCCACCTGAGTAGTGCTGGGCCCAGATCCTGAATATGCTAGAGCAGGGGTGGGCAAACTTTTGGACTCGAGGGCCACAGTGGGTTCTTAAACTGGACCGGAGGGCCGGAACAAAAGCATGGATGGAGTGTTTGTGTGAACTGATATAAATTCAAAGTAAACATCATGACATAAAAGGGTACGGTCTTCTTTTTCAATAGTTTTATTCATTTCAAAAGGGCCGGATCCGGTCCGCAGGCCGTAGTTTGCCCACGGCTGTGCTAGAGTTTCTAGCTGCTGGACTTTCAGCTCGGCTCCTCTGAGAGGCAGATACTAAGGCAGGATTCGACATGCGAGAGATTTATAGGAGAAGCAGCTGTCAAGGATAAAGGGGGAGGGAGCATTCGGCTGGAAGGCCTGACACCTGTGAAAGGAGAGCTGGAAGGGAAAATTGTGTGGGAAGAGCCTCAGATTACAGTGTAGCTCTAAGAAGTCTCTGCAAGACCAATGGGGAAGCCCAGGCAAAGGGTACCTACTGGGGGAATCCTCCCTCGAGCAGAAATGGGAAGGCGACACAAACGGGAGGCAGATCAGAGAGATAGAAAGTTGTAGCAGCAGCTGGGGGCTGTCAGCCAATTACACTCCTCACAGCAGGTTTTCTTGAAGGAAGATGTGAACTCAGCACCTCTGTGGCCACTACACAGGCCCAACTTGGTTACTCTGACTTACTGGCATTTGTCCCCCAAAGTTCTGTTGGCCTATGACCTGGTCAACAACCAGAAAACAGCTGTTGCCCTAGTAAGAACTCTAAGATGTCTGGGGGATCCTGAACTTAACTCTTCCCACAGCCATTCCTTGGTTTTATAATGGGACTATGGCCCCTGCCTTGGGCATTGGAGGACGTGTGCCATCACCATGCCCAAATGCCCATACTGTCATTTTCAGGGTATTTCCTCTGCAGTTTATCCAACTTGCTGCAGGTTTTGATTATCCTTGGTCTGTGCCTTTGTCATTGACTGGGTAGATATTGATGATCAGCTTTGCCTAGCTTCCATCTTCCATAGGCTCAGCAGACTCACCCAGAGGTTGAATCTGGGTGCTGGAACCCCCGACCTCCCAAGGGATATAGTCTAGGCTTCCTCCCAGTCTGATCATTTACATAAACTCCAGGGCAGCCTGAGAGGGACGCAAAGTCTCCCTAAAGGGAGTTTCCAAGGACCCACATGCCCATAGCACCAGGTCTTCTGTAGCATCCCCCTACTGAGCTTTTAAATATATATATATGTTATTGATTTTATTATTGAGTATATTATGGATTTTCAGAGAGGAAGGGAGAGGGAGAGAGAGAGAAATATCAATGATGAGAGTGAATCATTGATTGGCTGCCTCCTGCATGCCCCCCACTGAGGATCGAGCCACAACTGTAATCAAACCTGTGACTTCCTGGTTCATAGGTTGACGCTCAACCACTGAGCCACGTCAGCTGGGCCCCATGGTGAGC